GAAAAAAAAAAAAAAAAAAAAAAAAAAAAAAAAGTGAGATAAGAAAAGGACATATGAGGGTACCTCAAAAGGTTTGCAGAAAAATTAGTATTTTCTTTGATTCTGTATTCCCATAAACTTATTGAAGCACCCCTGAATTTTGTGTAAAAAAAGGGAAGAAAAAGCTTGGAGATACTCTGAAAGAATGAAGAAGGATGCTAAGTTATTTATTTATTTTTTTTTGTGACCAGTAAGGGGATTGTAACCCTTGGCTTGGTGTCGCCCACACCGCGCTCAGCCAGTGAGTGCACTGGCCATCCCTATATTAGGATCCGAACCTGTGGCCGTGGTGCTCCCAGCGCGCCGCTGAGCTCCCAGTGCCGCACTCTCCCGAGTGAGCCACAGGGTTGGCCCAGGATGCTAAGTTTTGATAAAATGGACTGATTTTTATTTTTACTTTAATGGTTACTGAATAGTCTTAGCTACCAAAAAGATGCTTGGTTAAAGAATGGGGGGGGGGGCAATAGTGTTTATTGGGCTAATTTGCCTATATCCCGAGATGACTTTCTTAGTTTCTTGGGATATCTGTGGTCCTAGAAGGGAAATTATATATTCAGGCCAGATATGCATGTATTCCTTGGGTTCAAAACCACCTTCTGATCCTGGTAAACTAAATCCTTCGGGGATTTAGGTGGGACTGGGCTATCTACATCTTATCATTGAGATGGGCCCTCATTTTTCCCATTTGGTTTCCCCAGAGGATCTGGATGAGGCTTCTTGAGTTCTTGTGATAGAATCTGAAACATATCTAGAGAGATGTGTCCCCAGCCTGTGCCTCCTCTTTTCTCTGCTTTAGTCTGTCATCCGTCAACTCTCATAGGTCATTGATTCACTCAGCCAACAGGCATTGGTAGGTTGCTGTTAGTGTACTAGGTGCTGAAGTATCTTACACAAGAGAAATAAGTCATTTCCTATAGCCTACTGGGAGGATCAACATAGAAGTTAAGTAATGTTATCAGGCAGTATGTGATTGTGTGCTAAATGTGTGATATCAGCAATAATTATTCTAGGAGCTAGTGACTTAGCACATATCTAATAAATTAATTTTTTCTATGAATAAATGAATGGGAGCAGTCACTATGAAATGCAGTGGTTAAGGGAAGGTTGGGGCTTGAGCTAAGTCTTAGAGGACAGGTATGATTTATATAGTCGAAGAGACTATAGTTGAGAATGACTTAAATAATCCAAAGAGAGTATGACTGTGGCCTGGTTTGAGTGGAAAGTAGCAGAATAAGTAAGTTCAAGTAGGATGTTGAGTGCCTTGAATGTTAGCTAAACAGTTCTATCTAGAGAAGGGTTGATCTGTGGCTAAACTCAGAAGCTCTCTGATTTTAGTGACTCCACCGAAGTCTGAGGCTACATACTTGGGAAAGCAATGAAGAGCTATGGTTTGAGGCTATAAGAGACTAGATTTTTGTGTACTCTGTATAATATTGGTGATTCTTGAAATGGCAAGTAACCCAGGGGTCTAATGACTATAAATGCGTTGAAAACACTACTGATTTTTGTGTTAGGTAATTTAGAAATTCAGGATTGTAAATGGCTATTAATGTTAGATTGTAACCTGTAAGAAGCAAATGGTGACTTTGGGCTTGGCTTTGCTTGGGTGTGTTCTGCTTTAGCTCTTTAAAAAGAGACTTTTCGTAACAGAACTACTTTGAAACGTATTGAATAAATCAGCTCAGCTAATCTAGGATATTTTGATTTTACAGAAAAACATGTACTGTAAAATAATTTAATGATCTTTAGAACAGTACTGTCCAATAGAACTTTCTGCAGTGAAGGAAATATTTTCTATCTCTGCTCTCCAATTTCATAGTCACTACCCATTGTGGCTACTGAGCACTTGAAATGTGATTACTATGAATAAGAAACTGAATTTTAAATTTTTAATTAATTTTTAAAATTTTAATTAAGTAGCCATATGTGGCTATTGGCTACTATATTGTACAGTGAAGCCTTAGAATGTTTGTCAACATTAGTACCTGACTTGTAAGTTTGTGGTAAGGATTAAAACGAAATATGAAGGATTCAAAGCACCAAGTAGTGGGCCTAGCACATAGTATATACTCAATAAATACTCCTTTCTTTATCAGATTGAAACTTGGAAGTGGTAACAACTGAGAGTTACATAAGGGGATGGTAATAAATACTGGTAAAGTGCTGTAAAGAGCTACCAGTAATTTTTGGTACTTGCCATAGATAGTGTCTTTCTGACCATGAGAATTTCATGCTAAATTAGTCCTTAGGGAATTTAGTGATCATCAGGGTAGAATCTATTCCGTTTGTTTTACTAGAATTTTATTATCTGCAAGCTTCTCAGAGGAAAGTTATGGTCTGTACTTTTCACTCTGGCAAGTGACATAGGGAGCAAAATCCTTAACACATGTTTGTTTTTTCCTTAGCTTGAAGGATGCCAATGATGTACCAATCCAGTGTGAAATCTCTCCTCTTATCTCCTATGCTGGAGAAGTAAGTTTGCTTTGCTTTTTTCCCTATTCTTTTACAAAGTATTGTGTATTTCACAGCTTAGAGAGTGGATTTTAAATGTTCCCACCACAAAGACATGATAAGTATTTGAGGTGATGGATATATTAATTAGCCTGATTTGGTCATTCCACAGTGTATACATGCATTGAAACATCACACTGTACCCCATAAATATATATAATTATTATTTGTCAACTAAAAATAAAACTTAAAAGAAAAAAGCAGGATTCTGTTGTTGTTTTATGTTTAAGTAAAGTTGCCCCTAGAGAAGATGCAGCATTTTCTGATGGTCCTGCCCTGCATAGCCCTTCCTGGGAAGAAGCTGAAAAGCTGCATTTGTTCTGAATTTTTCTCTTTGAGAATTGCTGTTATGGCTTTGCATCTTGCCATAAATGGGTTAGTTGCCATTAACAGAAATAATGTGTAGTCCATTTTACCTATCCATTGAAATGCAATAGGGTTTTTAAAATAAGTTTACATAGTCAGCCTTGTTTTTTAGATAAATCATCTGGTTCTTTTTAATGCAATGTAATTTTTCTTTCAGAGTCTAGTTCATATATGAGTTCATATACTCCAAAAAGTTCATGGAAAAATAGAATTAAAAGAGAATATGAATCTTTCCATGAACTTTTTGAAGACCCCTCTTACTTATTACTGTTATTTTTAAAACCTAGGGACTTAGGGGTCCCTACTATTGTAATTACGTAATTTTTTTTCTGGAGATCCTTGACAGTACTGCTTAGTTGTAGCATCAGAGACAGCTATCTTGCTTAGAAGACAAACTCTATTGAGTGATGATTATAAGAAGAATGAATATCATCTTATTAACTTTAGATATTATACTATAATCACAGTAATTTTCTTTTTTTGTTATTGTTTGTTTTTTACTTTAATAAGTTGGTTACTAGGTTCAGTTTAAAAAGTATATTAAATAGACTTT